CACAAGGCACTCACAGATCAACACCCCAGTGCTATACTGATTTAACACATCCAGATTTAAGCCTTCCTCATTTGATTCAGCAGACCCTCAAGTTCCCCCAAAAGTTTCCAGCCATGTCTGAGAGGCAGCCTTGGGGTGGAGGCAGGCGAGGAGGAGCTGTTCTGGGCCTGGCTGCTCCGGGCCTGGCCTCTGTTGCTCTGGTCCGTTCCACAATCAGCTGCTCCAGGAATGGCCACTGCCGCTCCTGACCTGGGTGCTCTGGGCGTGGCTGCTGCTGCTCCAGGCCTGGCCGCACCCGACCCGGCTGCTCTGTAGTGGCAAGATAAAAAAAAAAAAAAGAAATGGGGAAAAAATAGATACAGAAGCAAAGAAACATTGAAGAGACTGCCAAACTACAGTGCCAAACTGTGGCTGCTCCAGGCCTGGCCGCTCCCAGCCTGGCAGTTGCTGCTCCGGCTGCACCGGACCCAGCTGCTCTGGGCCTATCTACTTTATTTTAAATAACTGAAGTTACTTGTATATTCTCTAGCATTTAAAAAAATAACCAGAGATCTTTTTTATTATCAGGGATCCAGATATTTGGCAATGTCCTAAAGTTAATTAAAGATGGTGCTGACATTATCTTTTAAACTTAGATGTGGAATTAGAACATTATGGATTCAAAATAAGAATGATTAGCTGCTTCCAAATCTTTTCACTGCTTGATTTTCCTTGGAACAGTGAGTCCCAAGCTTGACTAAGCACCAGAATCACCAGGAGAGTTTGTTAAAACGCAGGTCACCCAGCATCATCCCCAGATCTTCTGCTTTAGAAGTTGGAGGTGAGGCCTAATAATTTTTATTTTTATTTTTTTATTTTTATTATTATTTTATTTTATTTTTCAAGATTATATATATATATATATATATATATATATATATATATATATATTATCATTTGAAGTATTACTAGTGGTACATATGTTCCTTTTTCCCCCTTTGATCTCCCTCCCAACTTCCCCTATCCCCCAAAACATGCCCTCACTTGTCCTCCCTCCCCCCAGTGTGTTGTATCCATTGATTATGCTTATATGCATACAACAAGTCCTTCAGTTTATCTCTTACAGCCCTTCCCCCCACCCCCAAACCTCCCCTGTAGTTTGGCACTGTAGTTTGGCAGTCTCTTCAATGTTTCTTTGCTTCTGTATCTATTTTTTCCCCATTTCTTTTTTTTTTTTTATCTTGCCACTACAGACTAGAAATAATCATATAATTACAAAAAAAAAAATGTTTGAGTCCCAATTTCAATATCCAACAGTTTTGAGACCCCATTTCAATGTCAAACAGTTCCTTATGTGAACATGTCAGCCATGATATCTGGATGGTGGGCACATGGTGGCAATGCAGGTCCAACCCTCTCTGGTTTGGTCCTAGGCAACCTGCAGCAACACACAGCTGCTGACTGCTAGCATGGCAAGGTGTCATTATCTCTGGACTTCCATCTCTTATCTTCATGGTCGGAACAAATCTGTCAATTCCTCTCTCTTGCAGGAATCCACCTGGTCTTGGAGTTGTTTTCTGAAAATATACAAACATATTCTCGACCAAAAGTTAATAAAGGAATCTTTTCTATATAATTGATTTGGGATCCTTTTTATTTTTGCCCTAACATTTTTCCTTTGTCTTATTTAGATATCATGTGTGTTTTTCATGGGTGTCTTGTTATTAGCATTACAAATGAAAATTAATTTTGTAAAGTAAAAATTTTCTAGATGTAATTTATGTATAGGATATTTTTCCTTACATGATATTACCCTACTATTCCTCCCTTTTTTTGATTAATGGAGGCTTTTGTAAATTTTATAATGCAGTCTTGATAACTTTAAATTTTATTTTTTTTGCACAAAAATATGCCTGCTTTAGGTTCATAGGCTTTCAGGTGATGCTGCTGCCTCTGGTCCTGGGACCACACTGGGGATCACTATCTGAATGTGTGAAAGTTAAAGGTACTCCCTTGTGGGTGGGGAGAACATTTAGGAAGCAGATGAGAACAGAGAGGGAGAGGAATAAGAGGGAGATAAATAGGGAGGAAAAGGATGTGCCCACTAGGCTTTCCCATTGCACCCAGCTTGTGGCTATGCTTCTGTTTTATCCATGACAAAATAAAATCATGGCAGAATTTGCTTAGAGGTTGAGTCAACACCTTTGAACCAGGAGGTCATGGTTTGATTCCCAGTCAGGGCTACATCCCCAGTTTGGGGCATGCAGAAGGCAGTTGATCAATGATTCTCTCTCATCTGACCAATGTTTCTATCTCTCTAGTCTGATATCATTTTTTTAAAAAGTGCTTAGAGAAACAGCTCATGGCATCAGAATTATAGCTACATTAAAGGGAAAAAGGGGAATGAAGTGACACTCCATGAAAAACCTTAAACTGAAGCCCTTCAAATGCAGTTTTATGTGAAATGTTAAAGTGGTTGGGGAGTAGAACAGGGTCTGGAGAAGTTAGTCCTTGTGTAACTTTATGAGAAGTACTGGTTGAATGTTGCTAAGGCAATAGGTTTTGGGCAGTTTCATTAGGGAGGCACTTGTGCACACTTTGTTATCTCCTAGGATCCCCCATCCCCTTGTTGCAAGTCTGAGAAGGCAGGGGCACTGTCTAAGTCACTTAGGCAGAGGGTCTCACTGAGTGGCTCCTTTGGGCCACAGATAGGAACTCAAACTTAAGGTCATTCCTCCGCGTTATTTTCATGTGGGCATTTGAAGATGCTGCCACAATTATCTTGCCTTTAACCATTTTTGTTGTTGCTATTATTCTCAGAATGTTCTTCTGTTGTTTGATTGTAAATATTGAGAAATAAAATTGGGCTGCAAAGGATAGAGGTTGTTGGGAGGAAGTCAAAAGAGAGGTAGGTGAAAACTCAAAACCCTTTCCCCATAAGAAACTGCCTTTCAGACACTTTTATTACTTAAAATACAGTCACCTGGATACTTCCTGCTGTCATTTTAGAAAGTGAGGATCTGGGAAGAGAGGATGCATGGTCTGGATATAGATAGAGGACATGAGAAAGAAAATTCTAGGAGACTAGTTTTACCTTCAACCTGTCACTTCATTTGTTTAGGGCTATTTTGGTTTTGTTTTGTTTTTAATATAAAATGATGTTATAGTTTTAGATAATTCCCAGAGGTATCTGATTCTGTGATTTTTTTTTTTGCAAGGTTACCTCTTATATCTTTTGGACAGCCAGGGTAAGAAATCAAGCTGCTTGACTTCTAAGATAGAGCTTAGGGTATATAAAAGATTCAACCTTCCCAAATACCCCAGAGGCTCCATGTTATTTCCTGATAGTGGTTTTAAATGGCTACGGAGGACAAGGAAGTTCACTGCTATGATAATGAGGGAGTCACACTGGGGGAAATATGATTATTCAACCATTATGTAGGAAAAAGTCAGTATTATCCAATCCAGTATTCAGATTTTCAGACAAAAGCATAACCCTGGAATATGCTGTCTATGGCTGAGCATAGTATTTCTTTGTCTGCAAAATCAGTTTTAAAAAAATCAATGTGTGCTTGGCTTGTCTGTCTCTTTCAGATATGAATGTATATCTTGCCTGAAATTTTTCTCATTCTTATTTTAAAGGCAACAAAATTGCTCTGGAGATATTAGTTGTAGTGGCAATTAATTTAACCTTTATTAAGCACCTACTGTGTGTCAGACTTTGTTTGAAGTGATCTCAGAAGTAGGTGAATACAGAGAGAAAGACAAAGGGGGGGGGGGAAGCCAGTATTCATTTATCCATCCCTTCTTTTATTCCTCAGAGATTTTTAAAATATATATATATATTTTTATTGATTTCAGAGAGTACGGAAGAGGGAGAGATAGAAACATAAATGATGAGAGAGAATCATTGAATGGCTGTGGGATCGAGCCTGCAACCGGGCATGTGCCCTGACAGGGAATTGAACCGTGTTTATAAGTTGACACTCAAACCACTGAGCCATGCCGGCCAAGCCCTCAGGGGTTTGTTGAGTATTTTCTGTGTACCCAGCTCTGGACTGAGTGCTGGGGATTCAAAAGTGAATAAGACAGACACATCCCTGTTGTCCCTCATGACTATGCTTCAATAAAGCTTGGTTAATCCTGAAGCAAAAAAGGTCAGACAAGTCTGCGATGGGCGGATGTATAGGTGAGGTCAGGGTCCAGGAATGGCTTCCCAGAGGATATGATCTGGGAACAAAAGCACAGTAGATACAGTGCTAACAGAGTGAGGCAGAGGCAGAAGGAGCAGTGAAGCAGAGGCTGGACAGAGGATGTGCTTAGTTGTACAGAACATAGATTTGAGGGAGAACAGTTGGAAATAGGACTATTTATGTTTGAAAGATGTTTTATTCCTTTCCTAGGAGTTTGGGCCTCAACCTAAGGTAATGGGGAAATCACTGAAATATTTCATCATGAAGGAATTATTACAGGAATCTCCAGCCAAAACAACATAAATATAGTATAACTGCATAGACTTTAAGTAAAAAAATATTAGAACAATAAAATGTGTGCTCTCTATTGTTGATATATAAAATATAATTATGACTATAGCAAAGTGTCAATGTCTAAAAGAATCTATTATTTGCATGGTGAAATTCTTTAAGAATTCCTTTCTTATACTCACTCAACATCAAATCTCTATTATATGCCAGCAGATCAGTCTGCAATACCTTCCCTCTACCATCAAATATGGAGAGATCTCATAATACTCACCCAATTTTAAAGTATTTGGTTATAAAACATCCAGCATAGGCAAATCCATAGAAACAGAAAATAGATTTGTGGGGCAATGGAAATAGTCTGGAATTTGTGCTAATGATTGAACAACATTGTGAACATAATAAAAAATGCTGAGCTTTATACTTTGGTTAAAATGGTTAATTTTGTGTAATGTGAATTTTATCTCAATAAAAAATACAGGAAGAAAAAAGAACCTGTTTTTTAATTTTAATTTTAATTTAATTTAATTTTTTTTGTAGTAAAGGGCAATCGAAAGTGTGAGTTGAATTGCCAGGCAATGGGCTATCGCTTCTATGTACGGCAAGCTGAGAAGGTCATTGATGGCACCCCCTGCGACCAGAATGGCTCGGCCATCTGCGTGTCTGGGCAATGCAAGGTAAGTGCCCCGGGACTGAAGTATCAGGGTGGATGCTTGGGCTGTTTGAGGTCTGACTGCCAGGCTGTGGTCTGCTACCTCCTCCCACCCCCCCCCACCCCCCAACCTGGCCCATGGGTCCCTGAACATAGCTCTGAGAGAAGTGGGAGGAGATGGGACTGTTTGGTCAGCTCTGTATTTTTTATCTTTGGGAATCACCATGTCTCAATCTGGTATTTCAATTCTTAAGTGATTTATGTTTACACTACTTGCTTCAAAAGGGACACTGATCTGTGCTCATTGATTGTGTCTGGTACTCCTTCCTCCTTCTGGCATGAAGCTTATGGAACAGCCACTGGTGGGTCAGTCCAGAAACCGTGAGCACCCTGTGGCATTTTAAGGGCATGATGTAGTTTATCTTGCCTCCTACCAGATGGGGCAGGCTTCCAAATGAAAATTGTCTCATGCCCTTTACAACAGAAGTTGTGCTTTAAACAGGAAGAGTTTTCAGCCTCTTTGGACTTCTGAAGTCTATCTCAGGAACTCCCAGCCACACATTCTGCAAACTTTCTGAGCCTGAGAGAAACCCTGTGGGATGCTAACCTTAGACAGAAAGCATCATTTGGTTAAAAATAGGCATCTTAGATGAGATGACACAAATCCCACAGCCACAATAATTTGGGTCCAGAATGCCGCTCCTCTTTCATCTGTTAATATAGTAGGCGGAGCGGAGCAGGTAAATGACTGTTAGGAGCCCAGACTGAGAGTCTACCTTAATTAAAGCTCAAAAACTGGAGAACTGGTTGGCTATCACATCCGAAGGTTCCTGTTCTACCTGACAGGTAAATTGCTACAGTATTTCATATTAGAGCTATTCAAGTATGATTTCTTAGCATGGCCTCCCCTCTCAGTATTTTTATAACGAAGAGGTTTTAAATAGGATACAAAATAACTTATCTGGATAGTCTCAGATTGTGAATGAAAGTTAAGAAAAGAAAAAGTTGTTTGCTGTCTAATGTGTGTGAGGTGTCTTTGGAAGAGCAAACCCCCCAAAGAATTAGAAATCTGTGTAGGCGAGGCAGAGAGCATGGTTGCAAGTATAGTGGAGGCCTAAACCTTCTAGCCTCCACTTTTCCACTCCTTCGAAAAAAACCACTGGGTTTCACACATTCCCTCTGAGCCTCCCCTTCCTCCGAGAAGACATAAGGGAGTTCCATTAGAGTTTGTGGCTCAATTGGCCTCTGCTTCCAAATGTTGCTGAGACTAAAATAATGTTCCTTGAGCAATCTGGCTCTTTCTTTGAGATCCTGAATGAACTGCATGGGTTCCTGATATAGGTGCACACTGTTGGGAGGGGTGCAGTGTAATGGTTAGAAACATGCCCTCTAGTGCAAGTCCTGCCTCTTCCATTGGTTTGCTTCGTGGTATTGCCCAAACTCTCTGGGCCTCTGTATGTTATCAAGTTGAGGAGGATGGCACCTACTCTGTCTTTAGTGAAGAGTCTGGAACTACTCCATGCAAAGCTTTGTAACAGGTCTACACTGAGTAAGCATGCTTCTGTGTATCAGCAGTATTGTATATGCCCACTGATGTCCTGTTGTATTTAAGTTTTAAATACAAAAGTATTTGCTTTTCGGTAGATTACAGAGTTGTCAGATTCACACCATTATTTGGTTGTTGTTGTTAATCCTCACCAAGGATATTTTTTTCCATTGATTTTTAGAGAAAGTGGAAGAGATGGAGGGAGGGGAAAAGAGAGAGAAACATTGCTGTGAGAGAAACACATCTATTGGTTGCCCTATGTACGCACGCTGACAGGTACAGGGGGTCGAACCTGCAACCCAGGTGTACATGCCTTGCCTGGGAATCCCATCCAAGATCCTTTGATGTGCACGGGCTGACACTCTAACCACCGAGAAACACTGGTCAGGGCTTATACCATATCTTGAGACAGGTCTCTCACTGCAGTGTGACTCCTGGGGACTGCAAATTCTAGTTGGGTAGGTCTGGGGAAGACTGGAGTATCTGGTTTTCAGACATGCTGCCATGTGATGTGGATGCTGTTGGTCTATGGATTATACTTTGTGTAGCAACGTTTTAAAGGACACTGATTAAAACCTACTAACAAAGGACCAGAAATGTAAATACAGAGTGGTCAAATGATTTGGAAGGAAGAAGAAATGTAATCTCTTTCTACTGGGCAAGCATGTTTTCTTAGTGTTGCATTGAGAAGGTATGAAAGAAAAAGAAATACTTATAAGGACATGGGTATGCATTCTTACCAATAGATGAAAACCTTTCATACTATAGGGAAAAAATAGTTTGAAGTTGATAATTGCTAAAATGACTGAGACAGATAGTCTCAGGGTGTGAGTAGATTCATAGGAATTGGATGTTACAAGGACAACTTTGATATTCCATCCTATTTGTTTTCTGTGCTTTTGCCTAAAATTCACTCATTAAAGTTGTTGGAACCACTGACTCTCCTGTCCTCTTTAAAAATTCAGTTTACAATATTTGCAAATGATATCACTGATAAAGGTTTAATCTCCAACATCTACAGATAGCTTATACAACTTAATAAGAGGAAGATAAATGACCCAATTAAAAAATGGGCAATGGATCTAAATAGAATCTTCTCAAAAGAAGACAGAAGGAAGGCCAAGAGGCACATGAAAACATGCTCAAAGTCACTAATTATCCGAGAAATGCAAATCAAAACAACAATGAGGTACCATCTCACACCTGTCAGAATGGCCAACATCAATAAATCAACAAACGACAAGTGTTGGCGAGGTTGCAGAGTAAAAGGAACACTCGTGAACTGCTGGTGGGAATATAGACTGGTGCAACCACTGTGGAGAACAGTATGGAGCTTCTTCAAAAAACTGAAAATAGAACTCCCATTTGACCCAGTAATCCCACTCCTAGGAATATATCCCAAGAAGCTAGAAACATCAATCAGAAAGGATATATGCACCCCTATGTTCATAACAGCACAATTTACAATAGCTAGGATTTGAAAACGGCTTAGGTGCCCATCAGCAGATGATTGGATCCAAAAACTATGGTACATTTATACAATGGAATACTATGCTACCATAAAAAAGAAGGAATTCTTATCATTTGCAGCAACCTGGATGGAATTGGAGAACATCATGTGAGTGAAACATGCCAGTCAATGAAAGAGAAACACCACATGACCTCACTTATATATGGATGATAAAGAACATTATAAACTGAAGAACCAAAAGATAGATATAGAGACAGTAAAGCAACAAGCAGACTGTCAAATTACAGCAGGGAGGTGGGGGAGATCTGGGGGAGATAAGAGATTAATGGACACAAAACCTGGGGAGGGAAGATATGTATGGGAGGAAGGACATTGGTATATGTACAAAAATAATCATTTAATAAAAAATATATTAAATAAATAAATAAATAAATATTCAGTTTACATAATCTGAAGTACATTTGCTTCCCAGGATGAGATTCTGTTTACTTTGCATCTTTCAAAGGGTCAATGCCCTTTTCTGAATATTTGATTGGAAGCCCAGAATTCAGATTGATATCTGCTGAGAGAGCTGTCACTCATGGTCACGACTGTTTGCCTCTGAAATAACTCCAAAAGCCCCTGCTGCAATAAAACTTAATGAAAGGCAACAAGCATTAAACAGGAAAACGAATGAAACCCACAAAAGAGACACCAAGCGGAAGAAAGAAAGGCCCAGCCAGCAGGCAGGCAGGAACTCTGCCCAGCGCCCGGTGGGCACCCTATGTGCTTGCCCTCTTGCTGAGGCTCCTTTGGTTTAGAGCCAATAGTTGGGAGAGGGGCAGGAAGAGTGCAGATGTCCTTAAACTGGAGGCTGGAGAAAGTGAGGGTCCCCCTCCAGTACTGGGTGACACTTCTTTTTTTTTGACAAGGACTGAAGAACCTCAAATGTTGGCTTCAGGCTCAGGACTGCATGCAGATAGGCTTTGAAGGGAAAGCATTCTGCCCAGTCATTTTTCTAAAGCAGACATCCGGGGCTCACAGAGATCTTGCCTTCCTCGTCCAGACCCCTTCCCTCTGGACATCAAATAGGAACACCCCACCCTCTTCAGAGCAGTCTCTGAGACACTTCTAGCCCTGCCCAGTCATTATTACCATTTTTGGGAATGAAGCATTTATGTCTTATTAAAAGATATCACCGTAATAATTCCAAATCTTTAAGCATCACATTAACTGTGCTGTAATGTTTTTAACATGATCAGAACTTTAAACTCTGCCTGAATTTTTTTTTGAATTTTTATAGTTAAATGTGTATTTATTATTTTTGCTCACGATTTAATACAAATAAAGAAAACCTTGCCTTCAAAGGTTTAGCAGGCATTTGAATGAAAAAGGTCATTTGGGTAATGACTACCAAAACACTAACCTTCACTCCCTAGAGAATGGCCTTCCAGAAACTTCAGGGCTCAAGAGCCAGATGATATGGAAAGAGTCAGAATCACTGTGAGATCCACCCCAAAATGCTGCTCCTTTGGTGGTAAAGGAGCAGTCCTCTGCATTGCAAAACTGATGCATAACCTCAAAGCAAGATGTTGGAGCTGATGCAGGCTAGCAAGGCACTAGAATCTGCATGTGCCAGACACTGCTCTGTGCCTTACTCCACAATTGTTTCATCAGTCCATTTGTCTTCAGAATCAGTCCATCAATAGGAATTTTCATCCCTGTTTTACAGAAGACTGTTGAAAGGATGAGATGATTTGGACATACTAAGTGCTGCATAGGGGTTGACTATTAATATTGACTTTTAAGCCCTACCGGGTTTGGCTCAGTGGAAAGAGCTAAGGCCTGGGGACTGAAGGGTACTGGGTTCGATTCCGGTCAGAGGCATGTACCTAGGTTGCAGGCTTGATCCCCAGCCCTGGTTGGGTCATGTTGGAAGGCAACCAATTAATGTCTCTCTCACATCAATGCTTCTCTCTTTCTCCCTTCCACTCTCTCTAAAAAACAATGGAAAATACTCTCAGTTGAG